CAGAAGAAGTCGATCTGACCGTTAGTCAAGCGTTGTGTCATTGAGTAATTTGCTGAGAGGCAAGACCTCGTCTGCTTTCCCAATGTGCTTCAGAGATTTCTTTGTCGGCGTAGATGCCTTTAAGTCGGTCGAATGAGCCGCGCATCTCATTAGAACCGTTGGATCAGCCCCTTGCGTGAGCTCGACTGCTGAGCCTTCTGTTCCAGCTCACAAGCTCGCGTGAGAGCATTCTGCGTGAGCCTTTCCTGTTTACCCGCAGACAAAGTGGTACTCTGTAGAATACAGGGTAATTTCCGCCCGAAAACGCGGGGCTAGAGGGGTTGAGCAGGTTGTCACGAAACGGCAGTAGTGCCAATTTGTTTAGTCCGACTATCTTAAATATGTCCAACGACTGGAACTTCACTGGATCGGAAAGCCCAAAACAGCGTCAAGTAATCCCGTCGATAAGTAGTTTGCTTTCCTCGTAATCGTAGTCAAGTATCGATGCTTCGAACACTTGGGTAGGCCAGTTCATACTGTACCTGTAGTGAACACAGTCCCGCATCGACGAGCGACATCATGAAAATCTTCTGGCAGACATTGTGCAGGGCTGCGTGTTGGCGATTCGTGACAACAGCCGGAGATCATCCGGGTCATTCGCGGCTTCTCCTCAAACCGCCTTGACGACACCATAGTGCACTTGGATAGCTAGTTTCTTCTTCAACATTAATTCACGAAGACGGCCCAGATTCGGGATAATATTCACGGTGAACAAATCCACCACCGATAATTTCTCACTAGCGTTCTTCTTCTCTTGCTCGGCGTAGTCGTCTACGATTATTGTAAGATCCACGGTGTTGAACATGATATCCTCTTCAAGAGGTAGAGCTCCTGGAGGCACGTTCCACATCGTCAAACTACCGACTCGAGGAACGTCACCCGATTTCTCGGAGGAGGCTCCTCTACTTTTGCTCTTCTTTTTCTCGAAAATTTCGTTTCTTCTTGGCCGCCGATTTCGTCGTCTTTCTCTCAGTGGCTACCACATTTTCACGACCATGTTGATTCGCTACAAGAGAAGCAACATTTGGGGACGCAAGCACCTTGCCAGTAAGCATGTACTGGGTCAAATCAAGGCGGTCGATCTTGCGACGGACGCAATACAGCGCAGATAGCACTTTGGCGTTGTATTTCTCCAAGTTCTGGAAGAATTTGGAATGCGCTTTCGAAGCAGAAATGGGGCTCAGCAGACACCCAGTGTTCTAAGTACGACATCACATTAGCATTATCGTTCTGGTCACTTGACGCCAACACTTTGTTGGCAGCATTTCGAAAATGTTTCAGCGTAGTCTCACTCCAAGTCGACGACAGCCAGACCTCCATGACACTCCGTGACTTAAGCATTTCAGCGACAATTTTACATTTGGCAGCTGCAAATTCACTCATCTCGACCCCACAAACTTTAGAGGTAGATCGTTGTTCAGTTCATCCTTTGGCTAGTAAACTGCTGAAGTCGTTGCAGCCAATGGCAACGTGAGTCGTTCCGAAGAAATAAGCCTCCGCACGGTTCGGGTTATTCGCAAAATTTGAGCGAACTCTGGCGTCGTACGCGGGGATCAACTTGCTTATTTCTTCTCGAAAATCGACAACGTCCCCAAGCTCTAAGGAATCCGCTCTTTCAGATAGAATGCTTATAGCCGCCGTCCCATGCCATCGTTTAGTCATATCGGCACAGTTCGTCATCTTGAAATATTTACCCTCGCGCATAGCAGACGCCGTCATCCACGGATTAGAGCGGGCGTTCAAGAAGGCACGATATAATACCTTTCGGGCGAATGTCGCGTCAAGTCCGGGAGGCCATCCACGCTGTTTCGGGAACTCAACGTGAACTTGAGGCGGTGGATTTTCACGTACATTCACATTTCGCGTGGCGGCGTCTTCTGTTGCCGATTCAGTCGAGACTTAGATGCAGCAGCAGCAAAGTGCACCATGCGATCAAGCCCTTTCATCTGCGCAATGTACTCGTCGTTATCCTGGTCTTCTTCGCTCATCATGTTCGGGTACTTATTTTCTTCCGTTGATTCCGTCCGACCTACTTTTATTGCAATAATTTCGGGACGCAAGCTATCCCGCTCTTCACGCTGCACATGAGTCGGTATTTCAGAGACTTTATGGCCAGGTTGTAGGACGCTTTGTTGTCGTAAACGCCGTTGGATCTCAGCATCGATGCATCACTTAACTACCTGCTTATCCGCGTCAAATCCAGGCGGTAAAGTCGATAAAACGCTCAAACATATATCTTCTAACTCGCTGACACACTCGGCTTGCGTCGCCTCCAAGCTCGCTAGGCACCGAACTCGTCGTATCCACGCTTTATGGTTTGACGGGGAAATAATACCAGCGACGGTAGAGTTTAGAAGAGCTATCTCGACATTTGGAATCAAACTCTCCGGTTCACCCAATCCATGAGAACTGACGCCAGGGACACCTCGGACCATCGTCAAATGCACCGCAGCAATATTATTCAGCACAAGTGACACTGCATGGCACCACGACTCAGAAGCCAGAATTCCTCTTCGTCAGCCTCCAAATTCCCTTGAGTGAACCAGTTGGATCCTTGGTTAAAGCCGTCCTCATTCGTCACAAAGCCAGGTGAAGCCATCTTGGAACACCATTCCGCAAATGATCGAAAGCTCGAATTCTCGGTCGAGTTAGCTGGAGATCCCGTTGTCAGTGTATTCTGCAACAGCTGGAGTTCCTTGGCTGAAATAAACTGAAGAGTATTACGTGCTAGGGCGACTACACGAACAACAACTGACTCGGCTCCATTTAGAGCTAGATATGACGCATCCATCCTTTAACATGAGTAGGATCAAGATGAACGGCAGCACCCGAGAGCTGTACAGCCAAAGCGTAGCCTTCCTTTCGGAACCGCCACGTCGTGATGTTGTTGAGTAGCTTGGCTAAAGTACGAACGTCACATTGCTCGGCTTGTGGTAGCATGACAATGCGCCTCGACCCTCATTTTGATAATTCACGGTACTGAAGAACTCATTCCCAAGATTTTTCCATGTCATCAAGACGGTCGGAACGTCTCGCCACAGAAATATTTCATTAGGTTCCTCGACTCGAATGCCCAAAGTTCCATCCATCTGCACCTTGTAGTACGGCTCTAGCACCACAATCGCTTGTCCCTTTGGAAACCTACTAGCCTCTTGACGCTGCTATATGTGTAAGGGAAGATCCGAATCTAGTATCCCGTAAGCGGCAAGTTCCACCAACGCTCCGGTTACGTCCTCCAGAAGAAACGACGTTGCAGAGATACCAAAGAAGGCGTCGTCGATTGCCACCCACCCGCAAAGATACGGTTCTCGGTGGACCGTACCAAGCTCTAGTTCCTCCACAAGAATGGACTTGAGTGTCTTGACCGACCTCGTATCGGGCTTTGGCTTTGCGTCGTTTATAGTAAACCCAGCTTGAGCAAAGCTGTTGAAGATCTTGACCACTTTTTCTGCGGGCAAGCAGGAAAGGCTCACGCATAATGTCCTCAAGCGGAACAGAAGGCTCAGCAGTCGAGCTCACGCGAGGGGCTGATCCAACGGTTTAATGAGATGCGCGGTTCATTCGACCGACTTGAAGGCATCTACGCGGAAAGCAGACGAGTTCTTGCCTCTCAGCAAATTGCTCAATGAGCACAATGTGAAGAAAGCGCTTGACTAACGGTCAGATCGAATTCTTCTGGGAAAGATGAAGCCCTCCAAGGCCACGTTACCGCCAGCCTTATTCATATCTTAGTTTGTTCTTCGTACGAAAGACTTCTGTTGCCCGCATGATACTCTTCACGACTGAGGAATTCGAGTGCTGATAAAGAGGAATTCTTTATTATACCAAAATAACCGTCGAGGTAATGGCTTGAAATTATCAGGGAAGCATCAAGACAACCACTGCTAAAGCAGAGCAAGAAGGAAACGTACGAAAAAGAGGTATGACGAAAAGAAAAGAAGGAGACAAGCAAGAACCAGAAGACAAGAAGCTTCGACAAAAACCGTCGACTAAACCGAAAATGAATGTCAGTACCGGTACAGCGGAATGTACCCAGTAATCCATTAAAAATGCGCATATTTTTTTCTCTATGCAATTCACAATTCAAAATGAGCAATGACACGCCTGTGGTGCATCCACCGCCGCTGCACGTGGCCGTGTGGGAGGGCGACCTCGAGCGCATCCACAGCATTCTTAACGCTGTCTGCCCCGAAGGCGAAGAATCCCGAAACCCCGTTAAAGCTGAGGCGCTGAAAGCCCTTTTGGAGACCAAAGACATTCGTGGGAATTCTGCTCTGCACTTGGCTGTGCGCATCGTGCAGCCACATCAACAAGCCATAGTAAAATTGCTTCTAGAGCGCGATGCCAATGTCACATCTCGCAATTCTGACGGCTGGAGCTGCGCTCACGATGCCGCTTTGCTGGACGATGAGTATATGATGGCTCAGCTGTATCTACGAGGCGAACAGCAAGTGATCAAGTCTCTCGAGTCGGCCCAAGAGACGTTCATCGAGGCACTAGAGAAACTTCCGGATTTTGAGGCAGAAATCTTCATTGAAGCCCAGTCCTGGGTGCCTATAGTGTCCAGTGTGTTACCGTCGGATACGATCCGAATCTGGAAGTACGGGTCTCAACTACGGATCGATTCGACGCTTAAAGGACTGGACGGAGTCAAGTGGAAGAAAGGACCGATGAGTCATGTGTATATGGGGAGAGCTGGCGGCGAGAGAGCAGGCCACGCAGTGGTGATGGACCATACCAGTAAGAAGTTCTACGACGTCTTGGAAGCCATGCACAACTCTTCAGTGGGGAACATGGACATGGCTTTGCAAGTCTCGTTGACGACAGCCATGTCCTCGTCGAGTATGGACGCGACCAATCTGGAATTTATTAAGCAAAAAGACGTCAAGGCGCAAGGCAAGAGAGACGAGAGTAGAATTCAAGACGAAGAGAGCAAGAAAAGTCGAAGTAAACAGAGGAAGTGTCCGTGGTCAGGAACCACTTACAAGATGCAGAATTTCTCCATGGAAGCGCAGTTTCGACCCGCCGTGAAGCCCGATCGCAAGCTCAAACAACTGCCATCTGGCAGGGACACGCCGTTCGAGGAAGTGCAGCAGTTTGTTGAGCATCTTCAGTCGTCTGTGCCTCATTTCAAGGGCAAGAAGAGCTCGAAATCGAAACACAAGAACAGCTCTAGTCTCAGTAATAGCGCGAACGATGACACTGCGGGACACTCGCTTCGGATCGAAAAGGGACGCAAGGTTGAGATGCATCTGGACGTGATCGCTGGAGACACGATCCGATGGGATTTCTTGGCGAAAAGTAGCGATTTCTGCTTCGTCGCGACGTATTTCCACGAGGACCAACAGCAAGTTGTGTGTCGCACCGACGGCGTTAAGAACATGGCAATTGTTGGCGCTTTCGAGGTCGAACACAACGGCAGCTTCGTGTTGATGTGGCAGAACACGCAGAAAGGGTTTACTATGGATAGAAATGGGATAAAGATCAAGTATGACGTCCAACATACTCGCTCAGCTGCTAGCGAACCTCCGGTAAATGCTGCGACTGTGGAGCCTGTCGCGTCTCCACAGTCCGAGGAAGATAAGCTGGAGACTAGCGACAAAGCCCGAAGACTTACTGACGAACAGAAATGCGAAGTTTTCCGCCAATTAAACCACATCCCGAACCCACTCACGACTACTACCGCGTTCGTGGACTACTTTAAGCTCAATGAGCTTGCGAGTGAGCCGAACGAAGCTCTCGAGTCGAAGAAGAAGTCATTTTTCAAGGTGTTTGAGGACAAGAAACAACCGACGTCGACCGCATCGTCTTCGAGAAACGGTACAGCTGAGACGGCTTACAGTATGAAGAACACATACCGGAGTCTGACACTTGTACCCACTGCGCGTCGAATGCACAAAGACTTTGAAGCCAAAGTTGTCATGACGGAGAAATTTCCGTTCCAACTCCGAGATTTCCTGCCAATTATCAAGTTCATTTCCACTACGGGAGAACACGTGAAGAACCTCGACGAGTTTTTCCAGATGGTACGTAGTGTGGATGTCGACTGTGTAAGGTACGGCGACTGACTGTATTTGTGCACTTGCCTTTGTGGCTACAGACACTCCCACCTGGGTTTCCTGTCAAGTTTGAGCTACCGATGATGTTTACGGTCCGAGTCGCGTACACGTTTCAGAAGATCACGTTGAACCCGCAGCTGAACTCGACGATGTTTGAGATCCCCAGAGATTATCAAGAAGTGTTCACTCTAGACGAAGTACGTTTGTAAAAAGTCAGAAAGACTTCACACGTTTTACTTAATATAAAAACTGGCTTGCATTACGTCATCTCTTGTACTCTAATTGGCTTCTAGCTGTCTTCCAATGTGATGGAACTCTTCGTACGGGTCGAGTTCGTCCTCGTCCAGTGCGTATTCCGTTTCGCGTTGAATGTCCGTTTCGTCTGCAACAAGGATGGCGTCTTCGAGCTCTGGGGTATCGCCACCAGCGTAGACCTCACTCGCCTTGCCACGAAACATTGGGTGCGCGCCACGCATCTTCATCGCCAACGCAGTTGCATTCACCGAAGTAGACAGAGCTGCAGTCCCCACGCCCGCTAGCAGCAACAAGCTTAAAGTGACGACGAGTTTGGTTCGCACAGCACGACGCTTTTCCCAATGTTTGTGCAGAATCGTTGACTCCGACAGCTTCGAGCTGAAGCACGAGCTCTTGGCGGGAGACTCGTGGCACAGGTAATTGACCTCTTCCAGCGACGAAAAGAAATCCTCATCCATATCACGATAGGCACTTGAATTGGTTCCTCGGACCATGATGTTGCGTGGTGAACGGCAAACTGAGCGATGCGGTTCCTCCAAGTCCCTAGGACAGAGATCAGATTAAACGATGGTGTCTTGTCCCATGAATGCGACTGGTTTAGTGGCGGACGGCCACTGGCCGTTGCAAAACACCATGGCGTCCATTTATGGTCTTGGCAGTAAAGGCTTGTAGAGAAGCACTGCTCGAAATGGTCGACAAGGCATTCTAACAATACTTCGAAGTACAAAATTATTAATACATGAAATTATTGGTACATTTTGATACTCATCGATCCTTGTGCGATAACGTGATAATCTACACTGATACTTGATCTCTTGAAATTCAACCTACGTTAGAAATGTGGTTGCCGCTAATCTCTTCTTCAACATGTATCAGCAGTCTGAGTGCTGATCGGTTTACACAGGTTCAAATTCGCTGTCACTGTTTTGCTTAAGTGTCGATGTAAACACTCACGTGGCGTCACCACCTTGTGCTGTTGCCTGTTCGTCATCAGCGGCGAAAATGCACATCCGGTACCATTGTCCCCACGATCACAATTGCATTTTGCCCTCCGAGCCCCAGATCCCCAAAGAAAATCACGGCAATGGTGTCTACAGCTCAAGTCTCCAAGCTCTTCACGCCCCTAACGCTCGGTGGCAAGCTGAACCAATTAACGCTGCAGCATCGCGTGGTGATGGCTCCGTTGACGCGTCTTAAGCACGGCGAGGAAGGAGTCCCGCCCGAGATCACGGCCACGTACTACGGCCAACGCACCACCAAGGGCGGTCTCATCATCGCTGAGGCCACCAACATTTCGCCCACAGCTCGTGGCTACGTCGGATCCCCTGGAATCTTTAACCAGGAGCAAGTCGAGGGCTGGAAGCGCGTGACCGACACGGTCAAGGGCAAGGGAGGACACATGTTCCTGCAGTTGTGGCACACTGGTCGTATGAGTCACCCACTGAGCCAACCCAATGGAGAGTTGCCTGTGTCTTCCAGCTCCAACGTGGACGTCTCCGGCACTCACATTTACACCCGTGAAGGCCCCAAGCCGCACGTGCAACCTCGTGCTCTTGAGACCGACGAGATCCCACTTATTGTCCAGGACTACAAGAAGGCAACCCAGAACGCTCTAGCTGCTGGCTTTGACGGCGTCGAATTCCACTGCGCCAACGCTTATCTGCAGGAACAGTTCCTGCAGGACGGTATCAATGACCGGACGGACAAGTACGGCGGATCTATGGAGAGCCGTGCGCGCTTTCTCTTCGAGTCTTTGGATGCGATTCTAGAGGTCGTGGACTCTAGTCGGGTGGGTATCCGTCTTTCGCCCTACGGTATGAGCTTCGGTCAGTCCGAGTCAGACCCTATTGGCATGTACGGCTACGTGATTAAGAAGCTGAACGAATATCACCTGGCGTACGTGCACCTCATCGAGCCTCGTGCGTTCGAGCTCCACGAGAACCCGAAGGCCCCGACCGATGGATCCATGACTCGTACTTTCCGTGAAATTTACGACGGTGTGTTGATGTCAGCTTCTGGCTACAACCGCAAGTTGGCTATCGAGGCTGTGGAGAGCGGCGATGCTGACCTGGTGGCTATCGGTCGCTACTTCATCTCGAACCCAGACCTTGTGAAGCGTCTGGAGATTGATGCACCGCTAAACCCTTACGACTCCAAGACGTTCTACGCCCCGGGCGAGCTAGGATACACGGATCAGCCTTTCCTGGAGGAGGATGAGGCGGCTACGTCGTCTTAGTCTAAGACTTGGATAGATCAACATGTACTAGCATACATGAGTACCGGTACTGTAGAGTTGGTTGTAGACCTAACATTCAGCCCCATTATGAATGTACTTAAGTACACGAAAGGATTCGCAACAAGGACTTTGCTAAACTCGACTAGAGAAACTCAACAAACGACTTGAACGACTTGATGAAATAACGACTTGATGGTGGTACACCACCTAATTTAAATAATATTACCTAATATTTTCTTCTTAGACAAAATGAGATTACTAAATATCAACCAATGCATGTATGTGAACGCGTTTCGCGAGCCGTCTTGCCTCCGAGGTGGCTCAACTTCCGTATGCGTCGGATTATCTCTCATTCTCTACGTTTCTCTTTTCTCCGGCCAGAGTCCATTAAGCGGCGCGTACGCAATGAGCGCCTCGGTTTTAAGTCCTTCCAGGCAATAGCAACCAAATACTAGTTAGCTCAAAATATATTTTTTTAAGGATTGCGTAATCGGTTTTAATACACCCATATGAAATACTAGAGCAAATACTCGTCAGTTTTAAATCCTGCCATCGCTACTGCTGCTTTAAAGCTGTTCTTTGGTTAGCCCTCGGCTCTATGGCTATAAGAAACGTACTTAAGTGGGAAAAACATAAAACATCTTGTATCTAATATTTTTCATGTCTTCGAGCTAATATTAATATATTATGTTAGCTTAAAAATGGGCTACTATCTTTATCTAGAATCAAAAATATAGTACTATTATTTTATAAATTGTATATGATATTAGGTTACATTTGCCCCTGAATAAATCATCAAGTATTAAATATTTTGGTAGATATCAAGGTTGATATTTAAATTTTATATTAAGTTTTGAAAACTGAGTTACTATTGCCCTTTAATAGCAAAAAATAGCTAGTACTATCAAAAAGATCAAATGATAATTATTAGCCCCTGTCCGAAAGTCGTCCCAACACGCTGATGACGCGCCTTTCAATTCTATCCAATAACGAAACATTTTTTCATCCAATCGCCATCGTCTGATGCACCTCGTCATTATTTCGAATACAAAAACCAAGTCGCCAATCAAAGAGTACGTCAGTCTCAGTTTCTCATCGTACCTCATCTCACGATGTCTTCGTCCTCCGCCGCGACCATCAAACTGCCCCACAGTAAGCTCCAAGACTCAAGCTCCAATGGTACCATTTCTCTCAAGCCTCGTCCACCTCTAGCCAGCTACACGTTCGGCGGATTGTCCGCTGTAGGCGCCGTGTTCTTTACACACCCGTTCGACCTGCTTAAGATCCACCTACAGACGTCAAAGAAGGAGAATCTAGGGCTGGGGACCGCAGTCCGCCGCATCCTCAAGCAACAGGGACTACGTGGGCTCTACCAGGGTATTTCTGGAGGTGCTATGAGGGAAGGAACGTACTCTACCATGCGCTTCGCAGTGTACCACTACCTCAAGGACGAGGCGGTGCGGCGGAATGACGGCCAACCTATCTCCACAGGCCACAATGTACTACTGGGTATGACTGGAGGCATCATCGGAGGAGCCTTTGGCAACCCAGCAGACATTGTCAATATCCGTATGCAGGCAGACAGTCGATTGCCTCCTGAGAAGAGACGCAACTACAAACACGCAGTGGACGGACTCCTTCGTGTGGAGAAGGAGGAGGGACTCGTCGCGTTGATGCGCGGGGTGAGACCCAACATGATTCGTGCCATGCTGCTGACAACAGGTCAGATTGCCGCCTACGACTTGGCCAAGTCGACGATTCTCGACAACAAAGTGGTGCCCATGCGCGACAATCTGCAGACCCACGTCTTGGCCAGTATGGTGGCTGGTCTGGTGGCGACGACGGCGTGTGCACCGGCAGATGTGGTCAAGACAAGGCTGATGAACATGCATCATAACGAATACAAGAGTGCGACAGACTGCTTTGTCAAGGTGGTAAAGCACGAAGGACTGCGAGGACTGTACAAGGGATGGCTGCCAGCGTATATGCGACTGGGACCGCAGACGCTGCTGACGTTTGTGTTCCTCGAACAACTTCGCAAGCGCTTGCTATAGATGTTAGAGCTCTTACCAGGTTTTGTGAGCGAAAGTAGTTCGCTTGTGTTTTTAAGACCACGTAGGCGATTGCTCTTGTGGACAAAATTTACGGTTTTAGAAAGACAACGAGTGCCCGTCCAATCCATGTACAAGAAAACTGGATGATTTGGTACTTACAGTAATTCGCTGCCGCACTATAAATATTGAGCTCAACCTCGCGGGTTGCGGCTTTGACAAAAAAGTTAGAATGACGTTAGCGTAGGCTTATCCTAAAAGTCGAGGTCTTCAGCGACTCGTTAATCTTCACCTTAAAAACTCCAGATGCTCTAGGGTGAAAAACTAAAAAAAGAAGTCGGGTGAAACACAACATACTTATAAAACAAGACGTGTATTGTAAATATATCCCACCGAGAATCCCAAAAATTCAACTGACCACTTTATTTAATCTTTATTTTTTGAGCTTGTGGAGAAAAAGCAGGGTAATAAAAAAGGTAAAAATATGTCTAAGGATGTCGAAGTCAGAGCTAAAGGCAATTGTTGCTATTAATACGCCTAGTGCCTTTGGGACCTCTCGCATTCACTTTATCAGAGCTCACACGTTTTCAAATTAGATGCAAAAATAGCCAGCGCACTCTAAAGAATCTAAAAGCACGATTTAAAAACAACTCACATGATTTTCGTTGGAGGACACCTCCACTCATGATCCGGGCGCGCTAGAGCAAAGAATGTGGACCGAAGGCAGCGTAAAGTGGTGACTTACAATGTACTTGCAGCAGTAAGACAAAAATTAGGTTTGCAACTGATCCATAACAAGCTATTTTGGTTTTTATTCGACGGGCGAAGTAAAAATGGTCTGATATCAGCTTCGCAACTCAAGCCCATCTCTTATTTGTAGACGGTGGGCACTCGACGCAAGCAAAGCCATCGGAATGGACGTACATTTACGTTTTTTTTATAATAATAATAATAATAAATGATATCGTTGACAGTTCGACGATGAACGACCGAGATTGGTAGGGTTTCCATCGAGCTTTGCACACTGCATTGTACTGGACAACTAAAAACCCAAATGGAGGACGAGCAGGAGGTCGAGCTGGACCTCGAGAAACAGCGGCATTCACGATCTAGTTCGTCACAGGAAGAGCAGCATGCGAAGACCGACTTAGAACAACAACTCGTCGAGGCGACCACAACAATCGCTGTACTTGCCGAACAGTTGAAAGCTGCCAATGAGAAGCAACAAAACCTTGAAGCGGAGTTAGTGGAGGCACGAGCCAGTACGCCACAGCTCATGACGGAGCTTGCGGTGGCACAGGAACGACTTAAAGTCGCGGAGGAAAACCATGTTCGTCTCGAGAAGCAACTGGCTGATTCTCAATCGAGAGTAATTGTCGATATCCCGCGACTTGAGACGGAACTCGCCGTGGCGAAGGAGCAACTTAAGGCGTTTGATGACAAGTTCAAGGCAATGAAACTAGAACACACGCTTGAGCTGGAGAATATAACGCTGCAACTTACGTCTATGGAGGAGAAACACGAGCTCCAACAACGTGCCGAGAATCTATTGACTAAATCAAAAGGTCGAGATCCTGAAGACTTGCCCACACCGGAAAGGTTGTATCTGGCACCGATGATGATCATGCCGGACATGTCCAATGCCTTGACTTGTGTCACCTTCGTAACTGGCTCCTCTCGCGAAGCTATTGACGAAAAAGTGCAAAGGTTACGAGGGCAACTCGTGCCAGGTGCCAAGGCGATTCTCGTTGAGTCTCAAGAAGAAGCCGACTACATCAAGCAGGCGATCGTGGAGAGAGGACGTGAACTCACACAGCGCAAGCGCAACAAGAACCCGGTAAGATTTTTTTATCACTCCGCTTTATATATTTCCGTGACATTTTTTTTCTTATCTTTCCCATGCAGAAATTAGTGGTAGATGTCGAATTTTACAACGAGCCCAACAAGCTTTGCACGCGTCATGCTGACGATGAAGCGACTACGCGCGATGAATTCTTGCGGCTCTTCCAACTTCCGTTCGCTCCTCTCGGCGAACTGGTCGAGCATGTCGCTCCAGAGATCGAAGCTCCCGAGAAAACCGTCGATAACGAAATGCCGTCTGTGGCGACTACAAGTCCTCTGAAGAAGATCGTCGAGAAGGAGACGCCTCCAGCAAGTCCGACGTCCGGCGAAGAGATGGCAGAAGAGCCTCGACCTTCTCGCATCCCATCGGTGCGTAGCTGGCGCCTGCCTGTACGAGGACCCAATCTTCGACTATCGCACCGTTTTGGGTTCAGTTCGTCAGGTAGTTCGCGTTGAATTAATGGAGTGGAGTGGGTAAATATTATGAAGTGACCATCGTACCGCTCCACACTCGACACTTACATTTGCAGTGTAGTAGAAATGGGAAAAGTGTTTGGTGCTGCCAGTTGGGAACAATGGGAAAGGGTCTAAGAATTTTTTTTCCTTACGCCAGTGCAGAACGGCATTTACTGACGAAGAAGCAGCTCTTTGCCGAACGCCACTGACATGGCCTTCCCGTTTCCAGGTTGCGATCCAGCTATGCTGCTAGCAATTCTTGCGGGTTTATCAGAAGCTGGACAACCAGAGTTGTGGGATGAGGATTCCGACGAAGACGAGCAGACTCAGTCGTTGAGCACACAAGAAGGAATGGTACAGCGGTTTAAGATGATGCGAGCCCGATTTGTTCGGCCAGGAGGCATCTTCGGTGAGCAAATACTCGCTGGAAATCTCCGCACCGGTAGGTTGTCACTGGACGATGCCAAGTCAGCGTCTGACGCGAGATCACTGCGAGACCTCACGCCGATGACTGGCAAAGAACTGGAGCTCGGGACGACGCACAGAGGTCGGTACCTTTGCGGTTGGGTGGCTGTTGATGACGCGTTCTTTGGTATTGCCTCGTCGTCACTGATTCTCGAGGATGTTACGGGCTATTTGGTGGAGATTGCTGCCTACGGATTGGTGGATACCGAGCTTCCGGCACATGAACGGCAACGTGTAGTGGCCGGCAAGCTCTCTAAAGGACGACCGATCGTTGTTCTCGAGCCATACTATAAAGTGCGGATGGATGGGTCGGTAGGAGTTCGAGTCGACGAAGCAGAAGAAATTATCCCATGGCAAGACGTCCCGACGGACTTGATGAGCTGGAAGAAGCTCGGAAATGAATTCTTTAGTACGTTGGACTCCCAGAACGACGGTCGTGGAGCGCTAGCGTGTTATAAACGTGCACTGGAAGTCGCACAGTCTGAAGTTGAACTGCTGGCGGTGCTGCTCACCAATATCGCAACTTGTCGCTCTAAAGTGGAAGACTACGCAGCTATTATCCAGCTTTCCGGTGCTGCGGTGCATCTCGATCCTACCTATTTCAAAGGTTGGTATCGTCTCGCTTCGGCTCTCGCGAAAGTCGAGACCAACGGAGACTACAGCGACCTGGTGTTAAGACGTGTAATTGCTCAAGCACACAAGGCGATACCCAGTTTGTCTTCTAAAGAACAACAATTGCTGCAAAGTACGCTAAACGGTGACCATGACTTCGTCAAGCAGTCGCAATTCTGCTCCTACGCGGAGTGGAGCGTGATGCTAGCGAAGTCAGGACTTTTACTAAGTGGAGGTTTACTCGATGCGGCAAAGACGGCAGATGGGTGGCGAAAGGAAGGATCGGTCTGTTTCTTCAAAGGCGACTTCGAGTGTGCTGAGGAAAAGTATCGAAAGGGGGTGGAGGTCATGAGATCATGCTGTCAGAACGCATCGGTGGTGCTGAACAACGTCGCGGCTGTTTATTTGAGGCTGCATCAAGCTTCATCGGCCAGTTCGGAAGAGGTTCCGAATATCGAGGCAGCAGTTTTGAACTCTTCTGTTGCGGGCATTGTCGACCCTCTCAACCACAAGGCGTGGCTTCGTCGGGTTCGCTGCTTGGGCACAATGGGGTTCAGTCATGAAAAATGCGTTCAAGACTTGCAAGGAATTCGCGCCAACGTCGTTTTAAGCGCAGTGGAACATTCGGGCCAGCTGAAAGTTTTCGAACAGAATCTGGATGTCGTAATTCTGAACCTCACCAGATCAGAGACTGCCAAAAGGGATATCAAGTCGACAGAGACTCCAAGTGAACAGCGTGATGAGAAGCCTCCTCCTGACGTCCCAAAAGTCGAGGAATATGAAGAAATAGATCAGTATATCGCTCGATTGGAAGGGTTTGTGGAGAGATTGCGCATGGCACATGCCATATCCAAGTCCCAGTCGAACCCTCGGCTTCAGCTTCTACCTCTTGAGATGCAAATGTTCTTTGCAAATCCGCCACCAGAAATCCACACCGAGTTCCCAAAGCTTCGTAAATGGCCCGAAGGTATCGACGCTGCACTCGCGCAGAAGCTTCTCTATCGTGCCTTCTTGGATGCCAGCGTGAACCCTTGGATCGATGCACTACGCATGCGAGATGGAAGTTTTTTTGACACGATAAGCTTTGGTGACCGAGTGAAGCGCTGGCATGGGACCGGAGCGATGGAACTCCTTCGAGCCAGAGGGTCCGTTCATCATGGAGATATCGTTGACGCTCGTGAAGCTTTGAGTGACTATGCACCGAGATATGACGCTAAGACTCGATCGAACTTCTCCAACAACGTCAGTCGCGCGGATATCTACTACTTCGACTCGACCCACGTAGCGATTGGCTTCACTGACTGTAGTAGTCTCCTGGCTGCTACGCTATGCGAGAACTCAAGTCGCGACGGACCTTTGCGATATGTTGGATTCGAGATGAGCGAGTTTGCCGTGGCCAAGTGGAAAGTAGCTGCGCTTATGCTCGGATCTTCCAGTGTCTCGATCTCAAGTGTGATGGAAGTTTGGCTCTCGTCAACGTGGAGTGAGACCACGTTGAAGGACTTCAGGAACAGCTTGAACGTTGTACTGACCTCGCTACAAGAGCAGGATGAGAACCCAAAGGTGATGGCATATTTGAAGCACTGGGCGTCGGCGGAGACGATTTCTGCAGCTGAAGCACGTTCCCAGTTCTTCTCGAACTTGGTGAAACACAGTAGTAGAATTCTACCTGCGCTGTGTTGCTTCTGCCGTCAGATCGACCGCCTCGACTTAACTCAGTACATGCTGACTGGAGAGATCCGAGCATCGCCCGATGTCGTGAATCTGGTTGAGAAGGAGCAACCTGGTGCAACTAAAAGGACCAATGGCTCAACTGGACAAGCGAAGAAGAAACGGAACCGAAAGAAGAAGAGAACGGCGAAAGGAAAACGTGTGAAAGCGTCTGATGCTGCGTCCCTGGTTGGCAACTTGACGATGTGGAATGTGCCCGCTAACTCTCCTCCACTCGATGACGAAATTGCGCTTAACACTGTGGATTTTAGGACCTTGGTGGAGGACTACGTTGACCCAGAAAAGAAGCAGAAGAACTCGACAAAGCGTTTGTCGGTGCTGGATTTGTTCGTCATTTACATTCTTAAGAATCTCCATCGTCTTCGCGGTCTGATGCTGGCGAATATATTGACAGTCGAAGTGAATTACGGCGTCGTCAAGGCAGGACGTGATGCGAGTGACCCCGTGGATGAGGCGCTGCTGACGCGTATAGCGGAGCTGCAGCCGGAGACTATTTCGTGGTCAAACCTGCTGGATTATTTTTCACTCGAGGGTTTTCATGACCTCGCTCGACGCTGTTCGATGTATGGAAACTGTTTGCACTACGGACACAGCACCAACTGGTCGGCACAAGTATTCGGAGCGTCAATGATCGACTATCACCCGGGAAATGCCAGCGTGATGATCGAGGCGGTGCTTAACTCTGCTCTAGGACTCTCGAACGAGGCGTTGCCAGGTCCACCACTTCTTTCAATGGTAAATATGCTCACGAAAGAGAATCTGGACAAGTTATTGTTCCTACCTTTCCGTGAGCCGCCACTCGATGCCACAGCGAACGTTCTCGCGCAGATTTGGAATGAGGAATGGGTCGAGTATTTCGTGAAAAAGGGGGAAATGACGAGCCAAGCGCAGCGGCGTCTGGGGACTTCGTGCACACCAATGAACTCTGGATTTCAGATGGGTACAAACAATGTGGCAGTGGCGAGTCCTCTCGATCGCTCGCCATGCGCGCTCTACTTGAGCTGGTGCTACGATCCAAATGTGCGATTGGTCGAGGGAGACCCTTTTGAGTCAAGTACTCTACGTGGGCTGGAGATGCTGGCACGGATGATGATGCACTTTGGTGTTTGAAAACTCCCGGGATGCGCTAGTTGTTTTGTAAAGCAGTCTCTGATTCAAGGGCTGAGAGAATGCAGGCAACGTTTTTGGAGCTGGTTTTTGACCTCGCATATTTCTCTTACTGAGTAAAAAATGTATAAAAAGAAAAAAAGAATGCACTGAAATTCCCGCGACGTTAAACCCTGAGCGTGCATTTTAGGTCTGGTAAAACTATTTCAAAAAGCTGCACGACTCTGCCAAGTCAACTTTACACGTCACGAGCTTCTTTCCCCTGCAGTAGAGCTGCAAGCGATCCAATAACATTACGGAGACCATCCTCTTTTTCATTCTCATTAACGATAAGCGTGCAGAATCGTGCACCTTCAGCATCCACCTCCATGACTTGCCACGTCAACAAGTCCGAGACGACACCGTAGATATGTTCGTTCATCTGAGGATCCTTTTCCAGCCGCTCGAGCAAGGCCGTCTCCGCAGTGATGGCCGTCTGTGCCATGCCTTTGTCAAAAACTTGCTTGTTGCATTCCACAATTATCGCGTTTTCGAGGTTTCCATAGCGAAGCAGGTCCACACGACCGAAAGACTCAAGAGCTTTGCCCTTGAACGTCACATTGCGCTCGATCTTCATTTGGCTAGTACATTCGCGACAGACGGCCCGCATCACAGCGTCGATCAGAGCCATTTTGTCCTCGTCAGAAGCTGTTGCAACATTTTCCATAGAGCTGGTCTCAATGATATCGCCCACTGTTGACAAGAGCAGCTCAAACGAAGATTCGTTAAGTGGCATTGGGTCGATCTCGAATTGCTTAAGCTGGTGGCTATCAGCGTTTTCGTAGACCTTCTGCAGATTCTGTTCCCAAGCGACGTCGTCGAAGGCAGCTCGAAAGCGTCTCTTTTGGAGAACGCTGGCAAAACGCTCATTGGGCTGCTCCCTCACCCGCATTTGCAACAAACGGATCCGCGCCTTGTGTGTTGCGCTCGTCGGCATTTCGTACTCATCAAAGAGCTTCGGCGTAGGGGCAACTGGAACTGTACGAGCCATGATGACGAGGAATGTTGTGGTGAGAGAAGAATTCGTTGATGCTGAAACATGACATGGGAACTGCCACTTCAACTTGCCCATTTAGAGTTTGCTACTCATTTTCAAGCGCAATTGGTTACAATCAATTTTAGCTTGCAGTTTGTAAAGCATACTCTCCCTCGGCAAAAAGTGGCGGGAAAAAGACCCGCGCAAAAACTCTGCCACATTTTTGCCACAATCGCTTCGTCCGAATCATTGCCATGAGCGGCGAGGAATTGGCGCTGAAGACGCAACTGCTGTTGCAGGAGGCGACGCAGATCACGCAGCAGGCGGCTGTGGAGAGTGTGGTCGAGAGTGCTCGCGCTCCACCACCAGAGTCCGAGTACCAGGCCGCAAAGAGCGCGCTCGTAGCCAAGTTGCGCAAGAAAAAAGAGGCAAACCGAGCACACCACCAGCAACTCAACCGGCGGCGTCTAGGGACGCAGACGCCGCAGTCCACAGTCAAGAAGAATGATATATTCTCGCCTCGCAAGGCGATGAGGCTAGCGGTAGCAACCACGGCGTCGGCAACGTCGCGTAAGAAACAGGACATGCTATTCAAACTAAGGACGCAGGCCATTCAACAAGGCGCACAGAGTATGGCCGAGTTCTTCGGACACGCGACCTATGAAGACCATTTGAAGGCTATAAACGAGGAGGAAGAGAAGAATATTCTTAAGAACGAGAAGCTGAAGGAGAAAATGGAGAAGAACCACGAGGAGCAGGAAAGCAAAGACGAGCACGAAGATACGGAGCCCATGGACACTTCGGTGGAGAACGTCGAGCACGAAGAGACGGAGCCCATGGACACTTTGATGGAGAACGTAGAGAGTTCACACGAACAAGAGGACGAGGAAGAACACGTAGCCATGTCTATAGCGCCCGCAGTGGATGAGAACGCGACGTCTATGGCGATGGAGAGTCCGAAGCAGCAGGAGGAGGAGAGTGTCAAGGTCGTGCGTCGGCGTAATAGGATCCAGAAACCCGAACCCGCAGCTGAAGAGGACGGCAACGAGGCAGACAGTGAACAGGACGACAAGGAAGGAGCCGACGCAGAAGAGGAGATGGAGGACGCAACAGACGCTGTGGAGGCGACGCATGACGCCGAGATGAATAACAAGGAAGCCGCGTCTTCCACGCCCTCGAGTCCAAAGGACAAGGCGGCAGCGTACCGCAACATGCTGCGTGCTGAGGCCTTGCAGACGCGCAAACGCAAGCGCCTGGTCAAAGGCGGAGACAAGTTCGTCGAGTCGGAAGCCGAGGAAGACGACGAAGAAGACGTTCTCAAGATCGGCGGGCTGGGCGATTTCGGTTTCGGCGTGCCGCAAGCAAAGACGCAAGAGTTCAGGGAGGCGGAGGAGGAGCGCAACGCCTTGAAGCTTCGTGAGGGAGATCTGGACCACATCGTCGACGATCTGTCGGACGACGAACGCGCGCAGGAACAGGATCTGGACGAGATGTTCCGTCGCGAACAGGAAGACCAGGACCGGCAGCAAGTGAAGGAAGTGATGCGCAATGTCAAGGAAGGCTTCGGTCGCAATCGTCGCGCGTTCTCCGGTCTCCACTCTGGCTCTGGCGCTCGTGGTCGCTTCAATCTCGACGAGTTGGTGGCTGCTGACGGTAGTAAGTTTGAAGCTGCGCGGTTGGGTTTGTTGGAGTCGGACGAGGAGTTGAGTGAGGACGAGAATGGCGAGAAGAAGAAGAAAGATAGCGAAGAGGAAGAAGAAGACGAAGAAGCGCAGATGGAGCGGATGCTACGTGAACGTTTCATGAACCAGCCAAAGATTTACGTGACCTCGTCCGAGTCTGGTAGTGACAATGAAGAAGAGGACGAAGCTAAGAAGGACAACGGACCTGATGGAGACGAAGTGGAGTCGGACGAAGAGCGAGAACGACAGCAGATGAAACTCTTCTCGGAGCGAGCTCGTATCAATCGTCGGATGCAGCGTATGAAGGATCTGCAGCGTCAGATCGCACTGGAGAACAACGAAGCAGACCCGAATGTGAAGGCCACTGCGATGCCCAATTTGCTGCTGGAAGAGGACGAAGACTCGCAAGAACTGATGCACATGATGAACCGTACTGACGTCGACTCAACATCGGACAGCAGGGCAAGTTCTGGAACAGCTCAGAAGAAGGCGAGGACAGATCGAACTCGTCCGAAACTCGGTCGGCTCAACTCGTACGGTGGTATCACGTCGGCATCTCGAGGCTCGTCGTCGTTTAGTCGCGTGATCGGCCAGTGCAAACTCTTCAGTGCCAACTCGGTACGTTTTGTCTGTTGCGTAGTTGGTGTCATTATTTTTTTTCTTAATATTTATTATTTACTTGTTCAATCTACAGGCTGGAGGTGGTGGTGCATCGTCCAAAGGTTTCGTGTTCACTTCGTTCAGCTCGGATAAGGCTGAAGACGGCGATGAGAATGCTGTGCCGAACCAGGATGAGGTTACGTCGACGACCCGTCCGGAACTTGGCAAGAGCAAGAGCTGGAGTGGCACAAAGAATGCAAAACGACGCGGTGCACCAGGAGCTAATGGCAACACAACGAGCAAGATGCGCAAGAGCGGTGGTCTCTTCTCAGTGCTCTCCTCGTTTCAATGCGTGTCTAGCACAAGCCAAGACTCAGGAGTGTAGGCATTTTAGAACTGTATTCACTATCTGCCACAATCAACTGACGTGCCCGCCAGCTGGATTCGATATAATCCATCATTTCTTTGGAATGTTTTCTTAAAAAACACAAAATAAAAGGCTGAGTACAACACATCAATTTAAAACCCAGCGTTGAGACAAGGGTTTTGACGATTGACGATTGGAGATCGGACCATAACCCGCGAGACGAGTCAGTGTACACCGCTCTTGGGAAGGAGCTGCACCATCGTCTCCAGGCTCTCGACACCTTTGCAAGTCCAACGGAGCGCCATTCTCCGAGAATCCGCGGGTGCCGGACGCCATGTCGCTGTCCCATTCGCGTCCGCAAACCGCCAGCAATAGCAGCAGCGACGACAGCAGCAGCGAGCGCGAGATACACAATGACACCCGTGCTTCCTCTTCGTCCATGGATGATTCTGTAGGCTCTGCGACTATCAGTGGGCCGTACCGCGTGGGAAACTCGGACGGAGATACGTGCTCGTACCACGCAGTACAGGAGGGCGAGTCTTGCCGCAAACCGCGTACGTGCTACGAGTGTCTGAACTCGGACGTGGCTGGTGTGAGTGACGGCTGCCTTTTGGCGCCCTCGGGCCTCTGTGAAGACATGTCCAGCTACGATGCCACTCTGGATTATCGTCGTAACACCACAGGCGAGGACTTAAGTCTCACAGGTTGGTATAATTACTTCCCGTCGGTTAATTCCACGTACTGCGAGCCAACGGACGAGGCCTGTGTGCTCTGTGACGAACTGGTGAACAATGGCAGCTTGAGTCAGGCGTCGCATTGGGGATTTAAGACGGAAAACGTATCGACTGAAGTGGAACGACAGCTCTGTGTTGGCACAGACGGCTGCGTGTGTGTCATGGCCTGCGAGACGAACAACTGGGAGTTAAATATGCCGGCGGAATGTGACGCAGATGGCAGCGCGTCGGGGAACAACAGCACTCCAGCAGACACCACGAGCTACAGCACCATGCTGATAATTTATTTAGTGTTGCAAGTGACGTTACTCGCGGTATTCATGTATAAACGCGGACTATGTCGACGAATGGCGCGACAGCGACCTCCTCCGCGACCGGAGGGGCCCTACAATAATGTGAACGCTATTACGTCGCCGTCGAACCGTTTGCGGCTTTCAGGGTGGAAGAAAATGCAAGAAACGCTGATCGAGCGCGAGAAGAAACAACGCGCTAATCAGCAGCCACAGTATATGTCTTCACCTCATGTAGGAGGCGCAACTACGGAGGCAGGAGGTGATAACACCCAGGCACAGCCGCTGTCTCCTCAAGTTTCAGCGCGGAATAATGACACAGCTCGAGCTGCCTACACAGAGGTCCAGGATGAGTGCAGTACGGTAATCGGCAGCAGAGATCGGAACAACGGTGCGCAGGCAGCAAGCGTGGATAGCGACGTCGTGGTCGTGGAAGGGTCCTTTGAAGAGAGCTCAACCGACGCCGGTGTTACGCGGACCGACCGCTCGTCGTCCACCGTCGCAATGCTGGAAGCCCGACGCGATGCCAAATAGAGTACGGTCTTCCTTTTAGCTGCTTAAGCAATTTTGATTTGCAGTACTCAGGTATGCAATGTTAGGTGGTCTATAACTTAATGAAAGCAGGAGCCAAGCCTGTCCGTCTATGATTGTGTTTTGAGAAAGAAGTAACGAGTTTTTTATCTTCCCCTTACAGCAGGAGATACCACAAATATGATAAAGCTGAAGTGCCAAATTTGACTAGCATACAGTTGGGGCATGACAAAATGTCGAATGCAAGTTCCGTCGATTACGGTGCTCTTAATCAATCAAACACGCATTTTATCCAATCCGATAGAATTATTCTGACTTTTTCATCCAATTATCTCACTTCAACTGAGCATCATAAAGTGTTCAGCTGAGACCGATCAGATGCCGGAACGCCATTGAAGACCCTGTCACAAGTGCAATCCTTACTCGTCACTTTGGCAATCCCTAGTGGCACTAGTAGCGAGCGCGTCGCATTGACATCGAATTCGGTGTTAGACAACTCTGTTGAGGCGAGTATGAATCGCACCAATTCAGACTTGGATACGTGCGCGTACTACGGCCTCGAACCGGGGGAAACCTGTTTCACTCACCGCAGTTGCTACGACTGCCTCAATGTACCAGTCGCCGCTGATCCACAAGGCTGTGTGTTGTCCCAGTTCGGCTACTGTATGTCCATGGTTTTCTACGACTACAAACTGGACTACCGAACGACCAGTGGCCCCAATGCGGACAGTGGCAGCCCCCACAACTTCACTGGAGGACTTTATCATCAGTATCCTGCAGTGAGCACAACCTACTGTGAAGCCACGGATCCCGCCTGTCTCGAGTGCAACGCCATTGCACTGAATTACGCCAGGCAGGACAACTTTCTGGCCAGATCGACCAAGTTTTGCCTTGGCCAGTCTGGCTGCGTCTGCGTGTTGAGCTGTGAGCCGACGGTGTGGAGATTGCGAACTGTGTCGCTCTGTGATGACTCTGATCCGTCTACTATTGCTGACTCGAACTCGGATTCGAGCACGTCCTGGACCGCGTACACGACGAGTCCATCAATTATTGTCAACCGAACGAGTAATAATTTGTCGAATTTGTACTGGGTGTTGGCTGTGCCTGTGTTCATCGTGCTGCTCGTAGGTTGTGCTTTGTGCTTGTAGTTATTGAGCTTCGAAGGCGACAGTTATTGCAGATACGAAGGCGATCTCCTAGAGCCCGACTTAGATTGTCAGCTTGGCGGGCGTTACATGAAGACCTGATTGACAAAGAGAAGGAACCGGTAGATTCTGTTGCTTTTCATATTGAGCCTTTAGCCGGTGTACAAGAAGAACGAGCCCCGCGACATCGTGATGTGGGGGAATTCAGGACAAATGCGAGTGAAAATCGGAAGTAATGTTGTGCCCAACGGTGGTATGTGTGTGATCTATGAGCTTGATGCTTAAATGCAGAGGACAACACGATCTGGACAAATGCATTTTAGGTCATGGTGACTGTATACAGCGTCGAAGAACTTTCTGCTGGTTCTCGGCGTTTGATTACGTTTTTTCGGCAACCTTTAGCTAGCAAGGCATTCGCACAAAATTGTAGTGGGTCTAGGAACACTATTAGGGAAGCTGGCGCTTCCTGGCAAACCAAAGCTCTGTTAGTGGTTTGGCTAATCTCAAAGTGAGCTCTAACACGACCTGTCGTAGACTACAGCTATGGCTAGTCTCGTACTTCATACGCGTAGTCTCATACTGAATCCTGCTGCCTAGTCTCGTACTGGGAAGTGGTAGCTATCTGTACTATCGCATCTTGTTGCCAGCTTGGGAATGTCTGCCTGTCGACATTCCCCAGTGCATGGGCTAGGCTTGGTCCGTTAAAGCCATCCACCACTACACCGCCCTCCCAAGCCTTGCCCAACTTGATAAATCAAAGAGAGTGGCTACTGCGCCCATCTGAGGAGGTCTCTTCTTTGTCATGCCCTATTCCTCGTGTGTCATGCTCTGCGCACGCTATACGAACGACGGCGTATACAGTATACTGCAAGGACAGAACGAGTGGCTCCCCCTCATTTGGAAAAATGAGCAAAGCGGCAAGTATGGAGCGCCGGCCGCGTCCAGCACAAAAGCGCCGACAGTACGCTGCTCCGAGTGAAGATGATAGCGACAACGGTGACAGCGACGCCGAGTGGCCACTGCCATCCGGGGACTCGAGTGTACAGTCGTCGCAAACCTCGAGCCAGTTCGAGACACAGAGCGCCCAAGAGGAGGCCTCCAGTGGAGAGACATCTTGTGCCTTAGCCCCCCAGCTACTTCAGATGCAGTTTGACTCGTGGGAGTCATTCCATGCTTACCTCAACGAGTATATGGCGCAGACATACCAGGTTCGCATCGCTAAGAAATTGTTTAGTTGACAACTAGCCTAATTACTACTGTATGTGTACCAGAGCTTTCGAATTCGTACTAACAACAAGGTCCAGGAGCGCAACTGCAAGATCCAGAAGCAAAATACTTTAGCTCCTCTAATCCCAGAGGAGTGGATCTGGTACGACAAGACCCTTGTTTGCACCCACGCGGGCAAGTACAAACCGCGGGGTAAAGGCAAGCGGCCACGTCGGGAAATACGATCGACTGAGTGCGGTGCACAGGTATGTAGTCATTTATATTTGGGCACAGTTGGGCTAAATACTATCGAGTTAGGCACAGATGGGTGAATTCCCATCGGGTCGGGTTCAGATGGGACACCTGCAACTGGATGTGCTGTAATGCCTTTCGTAATACTGACAAAATATGTGTTCTTCCTTCAGATAAACGCTTGTGTCCGTGTCGTCAATGGTAGCCCAAACGACCCTGTGTTCGCGTTATGCGTCACTACTGCCAAACTGCAGCATAACCATCCCCTGACTCGTTCCAACTACGAGCACTACTCGTCGGTCCGAAAACGGCACTTGCTCCTTCCATGGTGAAGACGGTTGATGTTTTGCGCAAGGCGAAGGCAAAGAAGAAAAATATTCTGCAGTTTGTCCTTGAAAATTCAGACTGTAACATGAAAATTCGCGACGTCCACAACCTCATTCAGCGCCTAAAGGATCAAGAGCGTGAAGGAACGACGAGCAAACAGAGACTGAAGACGTGGATGCAAGAATTTGGGGATGAGCCTGGTAATGTGGGTCGCGTCTTTGTGGAGAAGCACGACCAAAAGGTACGTAGATCCTTTTTTATTATGGGACTAATCGACAAGAAGACGCCGCAGTATCTGCGCTACAGATACCTTAGCTTGTGCATTTAAATACATTACATTTTGACCAAACCAGTAGTAAAATGCGAATGAAAATGCGCTTGTGAGATGTTTCACCCGTAGCTTGCTGTCAGTCCAAGACAGACATAGCCGTATAAGAGACCGGTTAATCCCGTATAGGAGTCCGGTTAATCGCAGCAAACCCGTATAGTTGCGTGACACGCATCAAAATATTACATTACTGGCTCTTTCGGTAGTTGGGATCAGATGGGCACAAATGGTCGTATGTGGGAGTCGGATGGTGTCGGATGGTGTCGGATGGGAACCAATGCCTCGTCACATTTTCCCCCAGATGGGCACAGTAACACGTGCCTAAATCAAATCAAGTACAGCATATATAACTTTCGAGAGGTTGTCGAAAGTATCGTGTTTCAGAAGTCCGAAAATATTCGTAATTTACGAAAAATATCCTTAGTTTACGGACCCATCGAAAAATCCAACCCGCTGCTCATTAGAGTGGTTTAGCAGCAGGAACTTGTGCGAGTTGTAGACTAGCGCCAATCACACAACCCTAATCACACTGCCGCACACGTTGGTTTGCCAGCGAAGCATTTTGCAGAGCGAACGCGAGCTCTTATCAGTCCTTGGTGTATACTACATTTGCAAAGCACACAAGCCAGTCAAGATGCTCGAGGAGAGCTTAGTCCTCGCAGCGACCGCTCTGGACCTCGTCCTCGTCGAGGACGCCGCTGTGCTCTTCGCCAGATCTCCTATTCCACGACCAGTCCTCACACTGAAGGGCAACTTCAATTTCAACGCATGAAGCGACGGAGACTGTCGTTTTAATTTCCGATTCTGGAAGCGTGACGTAATTCGGCTGCACAAGGCGCTGCGGCTTGAGGAAGACTACAAGCTACCGAGCCGCCTTCGCGTTGGTGAAGTCGAGGGGCTCTGTGTGTTGCTGCGCCGGCTCGCGTACCCTGGACGGTACGGGGATCTTGCTGTGATGTTCGGCAGGTCGCCCAGTGCGCTGTGCCTGATCTTTCGCTTCATGGTGGACCTAATCTACGCTAAGTGCAGCAAGCTTCTTGCCCTTGAGTGCGGCATATTGAGCTCATCAAGGTGTGGAGCTTATAGAAGTCGATGAATAGTCCGTCGGGAGCCATGACACCTTGATACTTGAGTGCATGCTTGCGCTTGTGCCCATTATAGCACTGCCGTTGGTTGTGCACTGGTCGGGCGATGCCACGCACCGTGCCATCAACGAAGCCGATACACCTGTCGATAGGACTGCCGCGTGCAACGACCGCTGCAGCGCGGCCCCGTTCTCGGTCGTCGGCATGATGTCTACCTGCTACGAGTAAGTGAAGTAAAGTTTTGCAGCGTCTTGTTAGCGTGCATGGCGAGTCGTACTGCTTGTACGGGGATCCTGCTTACCCAAATCGGCCTACACTGCAAGTCGGTTTCAAAGGCTCACGCCTTTCGCGGGATCAAGAACCTTTAATGGTGCAATGAGTGCTGTGCGTGTATCTGTCGAGTGGGGGTTTGGTGGAATAACTCGGTTGTGGCCGTACGAGGATATTAAGGTTTCGTCCAAGCTCCTACTTTCTCCTGTCGGCAAGTACTACCTAGTTGCTGCTCTACTGACAAACTTTAGAAGTTGTACTAGTCCCAACCAGATCAGTCGTTTCTTCGGAGTTAGTCCGCCATCACTCGAAACCTACATAGCGCTCGCTTTTCCTACTGCGGAATTCGAACTGCCATAGCTCGCATAACCTCAATAAATGCCATGCGCTCTTCCTTTTCTAACGCTAAACGCTCTCGTTCTAATGCTATGCGGTTTTCCTCGTTCGCTACCTTTTTGAGCTCCAAAGTACGTGCAAACTCATCTCGTTATTTGACGTGTGCCATCAACTCAGCGAACTTGTCATGCTTGCTCTTTCTCCCCTTCATTCCGGTCATGGCCTCGTCGCGCATTGCATCTGCGCGCTCGTCGTCTCGCTACTTGGCTCTCTTGGCCTGCTTCTTCTCCTCCTCCATCGTCTCAGCGTCCTCGAACAGCTCTAGCACGTCGGCGAGCTGGTCGTCCCTCTCGGTGTGCTCTTCATCGATACCACTGGCTGCTGCACTTCTAGCCATTTTGGCCTTGAAGTCGGTGAGCAGCAGAGAGCAGCGCTCTCGGCATCGCCTTGCATCCACATCCAGCGCCAAAGCCGAGGCCACGGCTGCCCATGCAGCCGTCATCCCGCCACGCTCCACCTCGAATGGATTCGCTGCGAGCACCTCCTTGAGCAGAGCATCGTCGTCGTCCTCATCGAAGCGGACTTGTGTCTTGCGCTTCTTGGTGGGGCGAGAAGACTCCATGGGCGGCGGCTGGTGACTGCTGGTGCAAGATGTAAAATGGAAGAGCACTGGAGCCGTGTGCTCCACCAACTTGTGGTTTACAGTATTCGGATGCTAAAGTGCATAGATATACATTTGTATACGACTTGTAGAAAGCTTATCAGTCGTAGCTACATCACTTGAACGAACGTGTGACGCTCGTCTCTGGCATTCCTCACAAAAAAAACTGGGCGTCACACGCTCGTAGCTTTCTGCTAAACCACTCTATTGTCGGGCCAGCGTATGAATGTGTTTCTCGAATCGTGAATCATCTCTGGCTGCTGCAAATTGCTTGAGTAGCACAGGAATGTCTTTCATTAGTGATCTCGCAGGTTCCCACGAGTCCTCAATTGACTCCAAGCCCTTCCAGGCCACCAGGATGTTTTAGTCCTTTTTTTCTTTGTTCCATGCATAGTCCAGTAGTTCTCTTACTGCCAGGATCTGCCCCTGGGCTGCAACATGCTCACGAATTTCCTCCGTGATCTGCAAGGAGCTGTCAGCGTAGAACTTCAACCTCGACGAATGGACGTCAGTTTCCGCTCCTGTCACGAGGTGGCGG